TTTCCTAATTTGACTTAGGAAATAAACTAAAAAAAATTTTACCTTCAAGACTGTAATTTACGAATGTATTCATAGTACAGTAATGCATGTAATTTTAGAAGACGTTATGCAGGATTAATAGCACTTGAGTAAATAAAACTAGCAGTCATTACGACTTCTTTTCAATTAAAGAAGTGACAAAATTTTGTTATCATTAAGAGACAGTGAGGACAACTGGAAAATCACATTCCAATTTTCAAATACCCACAGAAAGAATGTAGCTCCTTACATAAAACCTTTATCTGTTACTCAAAGAAGATCAATCCATTTATGTACAATAATTTAAACTGTCTTCCTACCCACATACAAATATCGTAGTACCCTGTCACATGAATTTCTGCAAATATGTGCAAAATTTTTACAATATTCATATGAAGTACATAAAATGTTTCCAAATTTTTTTAAAACTCAAATATTAAATAATTATATTGCATTGAATACATTAAGCACCACCTATCATACAAAATATTTAACATTCATACCATGAACTCTCCAGGTTGGTTTCATTTGCTGTCTTAACATAGACAGATTGTTGTAGGCAAGGACAGCAGCATCTAGTGCATTTACTCCTTCCCAGGGATAAGCAGCAGCATGAGAAGCTTTTCCGTAGTATTTCACAGTCACACTAAGAAATAAAAAACCATTTGTAATTACTTTTCCCCAAATTGCTAAAGTTAGAAAATCAATTAAAATTAACCAACTATTATTCAAAATTAATTCACATTGCTGGACTTTGCATTTGCAAATCACTTGTAGTAGTAACACTGTAATTTACTGATGTTAGTTATAGTTTATTATTATGTAACACAGTGCCTGACACAAAGAAAGCATTCCAAAAAAAGAGAAAAAGCGAACTTTGTTCAATCAATCTCCTGCACAGATCAAATTTGTACACAATTCTTTTTTTTTTTGAGACAGGGTCTTGCTCTGTCACTCGAGCTAGAGTGCATGGTGCAATCGATCATAGCTCACTGCAACCTCAAATTCCTGAGCTCAAGTGATCCTCTTGCCTCAGCCTCTCGAGTAGCTGGGAGTAGCTGGAGAGTAGCTGGGACTATAGGCACATGCCATGGTGCCAGGCTAATTTTTTTTTTTTTCTTTACAGACCAGATCTCATTATGTTGTTCAAGCTGGTCTCAAACTCCTGGCTTCAAATGATCCTCCTGCTTTAGCCTCTGAAAGTACTAGGATTACAGACCTGAGCCACCACCCTAGCTTAAATGTGTACAAAATTTAATTCAAACAAACATACAATACTATATATTAGGTGCTGGAATTACCAAAAAAAAAAAAAAAAAAAAAAAATGGCTCCTATCTCCTACACTGCATTGTGATAGTTCTATATCAAAGGTCAGTAAAAACTCAGAAATTCTGTTTCAAGTGGGGAAAGGTCAGGAAAGATAGAAAGGAAATAACACTTGAAATGGGTTAAGACAACCTATGAAAATCAGATTATATTCACAATGTTACTATAAGGTACCCTGGTATTAAGTCAGTTGTTCCTGATCAATATTTTATCAATGTTCCAAAATACCTATATTATTAATATTTTTAAATTTTATAAATTATTATTACTCTTACAAATAGTTTTCATACCATTCTAACTACTCTGATGCAATAAAAAATTACAGATTTAAAGAAAGGACTACGTATTAAATAGTTACTTATAAAGCTTCATGATTGAGTTGTTTAGATAACACTTTTTAAGCCTAACTGATTAATAGTGCCCATATTTAGATTATTAGAAAAGAACTCTGGACTTATTTTTTTTTAATGGGCTAGATCAGGAGTCCTTAGAATGCTTTTGTTATTTCTTAACTGATTCTAAACATTCTATTACCACAACAAAAACAAGTAAAAGCATCCAACTTTTAAGATTTTAGGATAAGGGCCAGGTGCCACAGCTCATGCCTATAATCCCAGCACTTTGGGAGGCCAAGGCGGGAGGACTGCTTGAGCTCAGGAGTTCGAGACCAGACTGAGCAACATATCGAGACTCTCTACCAAAAATACGAAACTTAGCTGGGTGTAGTGCCTATGCCTGTAGTACTAGCTACTCTGGAGGCTAAGGCAGGATTGGCTTGAACCCGGGAGTTTTAGGTTACAGTGAGCTATCATGATGCCACTGCACCACAGCCCGAGTGACAGACCAAGATCCTGTCTCAAATAGACAAACAAAAAAAAATTTAAAACCAATGGATTAGTAGTTTCTTAAAAATTAAATTCTTTTTTTTTTGAGACAGAGTCTTGCTGTGTAGCCCGGGCTAGAGTGCTGTGGTGTCAGCTTAGCTCACAGCAACCTCAAACTCCTAGGCTCAAATAATCCTTCTGCCTCAGCCTCCTGAGTAGCTGGGACTACATGCATGCACCACTATGCCTGGCTAATTTTTTCTATATATTTTTAGTTGTCCAGCTAGTTTCCTCCTATTTTTAGTAGAGATGGGGTCTCACTCTTGCTCAGGCTGGTGTTGAACTCCTGAGCTCAAACGATTCTCCTGCCTCAGCCTCTCAGAGTGCTAGGACTGTAGGCTTGAGCCACCGTGCCCAGCCAAAAATTAAATTCTTGATCTTGTTCTCTTTTCCATCTTAAAAGATGACCAGTGAAAAAACTAAGTCAGACTCTAAGAAGAGGCCTGGGGCCAAGTAGGCTAACTTTAGGATCAAGACAGTCCAAGAAGGCTAATGGGCTGGGAAGCCTGCCTACAGCTGCAGGCCCCTTCCAGCCAGGGACATGAGCAAAGATTTCTAATCCCTAATGTTTTCCAGAGGTACGTAGTATAATTACACCACCCTGAAACCAAAGTTGAAAGAGTCTTCCTACTGTCACAGTACGAATTCCCAGTATAAAAACTAAAATACCAGAATAGTTAAAATGATCACCCTCTGAAAACAAGGCCCAGTAGGGTGCGAGAGGTGAGCTACTTGAACACAATCTAGAAATACTGCTGGGTGGTTCTACTATCATTCCCTAGGTACCCAGCTACTTCAGAGGAGAACACATGGTTTTCCTGAAGCAGCTGAGCACTGGCTCCCTGTGACTGGACCATTAACTACTACAGTTGAAATTTCTGGTGTAAAAGATTCAAACCACTTCAATGATGCATGCTCCTAGAACTGAAAAAAGGGAGCTCCTCAATGTAGAGAAAGATAAAAGGTTTCAGCACCAGGCAAATCTGAAAAGCATAGATTGACAAATTCCACTAAAATCTACAGTTACTCAGATTCTGTGTTCTCTCTCAGGGCATAATTTGTCCTCTTTGTAAAAAACCCAAAATAAATAAAACAGAGAAGTGTGTTTTCTTCCCAAGTCTAACAGAATTGTCTCTTGCAGATCTATGCAGTTGCAAAGGCAACCTCATATTAAAGGATAGGTGTTTTCCAGAAACATCTTGAAAATGTTTTCAGATAGTTCAAAACAGAATTTAAGTGCGAACATGTTCTGTTTACTATTCCTATGCTTTTTAGGGCTACTATTTTAATACTCCAATTATGAACACCATAATAATCTCAATTAGAAGAGGCTTGCCAAATGTCATTCAATAGAAATCAAGACATCATATTGTCATCTTTCAATTTACTTTTTAAATGTATAAATGTGGAGTTTTAGTCTCTAGTTTACACATAAAAGTATTCTATAGTCTGTTTTCCTCTAAGAAGTTTATCTTCCACTTGATTACTTACTCATGTTCAGCTACATCTGGGAGATAAGCAGCATTCTCTTGGGATGGATGGGCCATAAAAACAACATCAAGATTTTTAAAAGCCCCTGCTTCAATTAGATCAATTTTGCCACCACCATCTTCTTCTGCAGGGGTTCCCAGGACAATTACCTAGAAGGAAATACCCATGTCAGAGCAAAACAACAACAAAATCCTAGTAGGAAAATATCAAACAAGTTCCTTTGCATATTTATTCACAATCTACATTAAAGTCCTTAAACTATGAAGAGACGTTTTGTTCTCTGACACTTATGCAATGGGCATAAACACATGGTGCTGAATTAATCACAACATTTAATTTACATTGTTATACTAATTTGGTGCAAAGTATGTACTACAGACACTATAGGAAGTTTTTCCCAATTTTAGAACTCAATTTTCCATAACTAATGGCAAAGATAAAAAGTTAAATACTACATACTTAGTTCCTCAAAATTTGTTAGGATTTATCTCTTAAAGCTTTTTCCTAAGTCTTTTAATTTATGTCTACAATTACCCATTAACATTTGACTGGTAAGGAACTTTCCAGTGACTTACTAGTTATCCTCACAACAACCCTGTGAGGTAGGTAAGCAAGCTGTATCATCATTTTAGGGAGGGTGATTTTGAGGAATAGGGTAAAGTCTCTTGCCCCAGGTCACAGAGCAAGTCTTCAGACAGGGCTGGGATTAGATGTCCTGACTTTTAGGCCGGAATTCTGATTCCTTACTGAGCTACCTACTTAAAAGGTCTCAACTCATCAATCCTTTATGAAGAACATTAAACAAATCTTAATACCATGGTTAGAAACAGCCAACTATTACACAAACTTACTAATTCGATTCCACCAGTTCAACCAGGCAGATTTATTGGTCACCAAACACCTAATTAAACAAAAAAGAACTTTACAGAGTAAACATTTTACTTTGATATTTAAGCTTAACTTCTTCAAACAATTTTAAAAAGAAAAAAATTATCTATAAGCAACTAACATACTTTCAAGATCATGTATAAGACAATGAAACAAGCTGGAAAAACGTCTTGTCTTGCAAAGAGAATCAACATAAATTCCATTTTTAGATAAGATATAGCTTAACCTTGCTAAACCTGAAAACCATTTGAAGTTAGAAGTTTGTACTTTTCCCAAAGTCCAGCTTTGTTTAGAAGTTATAAAGTACCCAAACCCTTAAATTAAGCTGCTCTTTACTCTTAATCCTTAACTCATTAAATATGATGTCTCTGGCTGACCTTTCACAAACCTGGTTAAAGATAAATCTCTCCAGTGTTTCATGACATGGCAAAGGATGCTCCCCGCAACCAAAACAAAAACCTAACCAAGTGCAATAAAAAGCCCCCAGCAGCGGAAAAGAGAAGGCAGCCAAAGAGAAAAAGCCACAAAAGATGGAACTGTTAGGATAAAATGAGAAAGGTTACTGACATTGGAAATAATGGGCTAAAGAATATGAAAATAAAACATTTGGTTTCCTCTTAACTTGAATGATGATTGAATCTTTGCTTACAGAATGCAAAACATCTGTAAAAACAGAGTAATGCAAGATTAAACTTGCCCTATGACAAACATAAACAACATTTCCCCGTTTAAAGAATCAAGATATTTCTCAAATCATGAAATAAAAATTAAGACTTAAGGATGAACTCATCTATGTAGTAAATGTTCATTCACTTCCCTGTCATGTATACTTTTAGAGGTTCGGTGGTTCTAACGACTGAAAACTTCCTATCCAAATCCCAGTGATTCAAATCTCTACAGTTCCTATGACTGCCACGAACAAAAAAAATTTTTTTGAAGCCGAATAAAGAGGGGCTGTGGATTTCCCTATAAAAATAATTTCCTTCAGAGATTGCACAACCTTGTCAGCAACTTGCAGTTGTCTCTCGGTTAACAAAAATATCCCGTAACGAAAAATAGGCTTGATTCTAACTTCTTTCCTAAGGGAGAATGTACTGAGTTGTTTACAGCGACAGAACAGGATACAGATATCTGCAAAACGTAGCTTGCTCGGCAACACGTGAACTACTGACTTTTATTAGGGAATTCTGTTCTGCCTTTGGGCCAAGGCGAGGCTCGCAGGGTTGAGTTCGGTCCCCAACGCCCGTCCCGGGGCGGGAGGGAAGGGCGCGCACCGCATGCACAAGGATCCTGACATTCCCGGGAAGCTCCCGACCTGGGCAGTCGCATGGAGTCCCGCGCTCGCCCCACCTCACCTTCACGGGAGGCGGCGGTCCAGGGAGGCCCTCCAGGGCCCCCTTCACGCCCAGCGCCGCCGCCGCCCCGACCTCGGCGATGAGATTGTGGCCGCAGGCGTGGCCGATGCCCGGCAGCGCGTCGTACTCGCAGAGGAAGGCCACATGCAGCGGGCGCAGCGCGGCGCTCGCCCGGCCCCCCGGCGGCTCCCACTCTGCGCGGAAGGCGGTGGGCAGCTGGTAGTGCGGCTGCACAGCCCAGGCCGCGGCCGGCGGCTCCTGCTCGAAGAAGCGCGTCAGCACGCGGTGGGCATGGTGCTCCTCGTAGGCCAGCTCGGGCTCGCTCCAGATCGCGCGGCTCAGGGCCCCCAGCCGCTCGGCCGCCTCGTCGATGCGCTCCGCGGCGCGCAGCTTCAGCAGCTCCAGCTTGGAGACGCCTTCGCACGCGCCCGCCGCCACCGGCCGCTCCTCTCCGGGCCCCATGGTGCCCAGAGCCGGCTACCCTCCACTGTCAGCTTGCTCCCTAGCTCGCTGGTAGCCGCTTACCGCGCCTGCGCACGCGCCCCGGCCTCCAGAACCGGCCGCGCGCGCAGGCCGGCCGCAGGCTCCCGGGAGACGCGCCCGGAGCCCAGGCAGGTGCTCCGCCCTGGGGCGGGGGCGCAGTGAAGAAGGCGGGGCTCGGGGCTGGGCTTCTCGCCTCTGTCTCCTTCGCACTCCCGGCAATTGAATTATGCTCTAAATTTTTTAGAGTCTAAAGTCATTATTACTTTTTCACTGTTGCTTATTTCCCACAGCAGCAGAATGAGAACGGTTTTATTGGTTAATAGCCATCAGAGACAGACCAAGAGGAACATAGTCCTGTGAAAAACGCCGCTCTCCTTTCTAGTGATAGTAATAAAAAAATGTACAAGGATTTCAGCTCCTAAAAGAGGCCGTCAATATAAATGCCGTACAAAGAACACTGGTCTATAGACTCCATACGCTAAGGTTCGGTACTGCCTTCACGTCCTTCTTTATGAGGTTGTATTATCTAAAAGCTGCAACCGCTCAACAGTTGTGTCATTAGAATCGGAATTTAATAATGTCCAGAACATCACCTGAATTATATAGTAAACTCTCGATATGTGTTAGCTATTATATTGTAGTCTATCCGAGTAGTAGAACTAAGAATCTGAAAGGAGTTTAAAAAGTAACAAAACCAAAGAGTTGAAAGATTTATGGTAATAAATATTCATACTGTTTTGTTAATTTTGACAGTTGTTTTGAATAGTAACAGCTTTGAAAGAGAACATATGACTAGTTTCATTTATAATTTTAATTGATGCTGAACTCAAGTAAGAGGATATGTGCAGCTGGTGTTCACATTGTAATTGGGTTTTAAATTACCCAATGAAGAAATTCAAGATATCATACTCTTGTTTTTCTCCAGAGTGAAGCACAAAGTCTGTAAAACTATTGCTGATGATATGCCTATCAATAACACTGCAGAGGTTTACATTCTGAGGTTTTCCACGTATTAAAAGCTTTCATCAGCTCTTTATACACTACCATCTCTTTCCTTTATTTGTAACAACTCGGTTAAGTGGGACACAATATATTCATGTAATAAACCAAATGTATTTTTTGAAAATAAGTCTAAAGGAAGATAACATGCAAGACTATCAACTACTGTTTTTACTACTCCGTATACTAACAATACCAAAATAAATGTCACATTCTAATCTAAAAACACTGCCTTTCTCAGTTAACACCCTAACTGAAACTCAGCTCTAAAGGCAACAAATATGTTAATAAATTCCTGGACCCCTTTGGCTATACTTAATAAACCTTACTCTGGTATTCTCGCAAAAATTCCCTTCTGTATCCATGAGATTCAATATTACCATGCTCATTTAGTTGGCTGAAAAAAGGGGCCTATTAGAACAAAAACAATGGGCGACATTTGTAGAGCACTTTGTGCCAAGCACTGTTCCAAGTGCTTAACATGTATTAACTCATTTAATCCTCATAGCAAACTATGACATTGTTAATGTGGTTACCTATCTCATTTTACAGATGAGTGTCCAAGATTACAAAGCTAGTAAGTAGAGGACCCGGGTAGAACAGAAGCCAGTCTGGCTCCAGTGGCTTGCTTTTATCTGCTTGTGTAAACAGATACCAAATTTATACATGTATCTGTAGTACAACTCATCTGTTCATATCAGAACCCACAATAATCACTCATTTTGAATAAATTTTACTGCAGCAACTCTGCCTGCTGACATCAGTAGAACCCATGTTTGCTCTCATCGGGCAGCAATAAACAACAGAAAAGGGATACACATGCCAATTTTAAGCTGGTCAAGGTGGTATGTGCCTATAGTTCCAGCTATTTGGAAGGCTGAGGAGGGAGGATCACTTGAGCCCACAAGTTTGAGGCCAGCCTGGAAAACATATCAAGAACTCCATCTTTAAAAAAACAAAAAAA